ATTTATTCATTTATTTATTAATTTATTTATTTATTCATTTATTTATTTATTTATTTATTCATTTATTTATTCATTTATTTATTTATTCATTCATTTATTTATTCATTTATTTATTTATTTATTTATTCATTTATTTATTCATTTATTTATTTATTCATTTATTTATTCATTTATTTATTTATTTATTTATTTATTCATTTATTTATTCATTTATTTATTTATTCATTTATTTATTCATTTATTTATTTATTCATTCATTTATTTATTTATTTATTCATTCATTTATTTATTCATTTATTTATTCATTTATTTATTTATTCATTCATTTATTTATTCATTTATTTATTTATTTATTTATTTATTCATTTATTTATTCATTTATTTATTTATTTATATTAGAAGTGACAGAGATAAGAGAGTAGAATCAGCTAAGATATCAATAACAGCATTACTGAAATCATGGTCAGGTACATGTGTATGAAATACTGTGACCTTATTATTGTTGTTGTTTTTATTGTTTTAGGTTTTTTATTGTTACTTAATCCGTCAATTAATGGAATATCAACTATAATTAACATGTTACCTTTGACTGAACCTTATATACAGGTAATTGATTAATTAATTAATTAATATTCATTATTATTATAGTGCATAGTATTGTACCAAAAATGGCTTTAAAATCACTCCAAATTTTTATTACATTTTCTGATACATATTGATGTCATTATGCTGTGTAGCAAGTTTGAGCTGATTCCGACTTCAATTTTTCAAGTTATGGCCATTTTAAGAAAACATCAAAAATCTGAAAATTACCCAAGGCTATAGCCCATGTTTTTTTCCAGAAAATGGCTCCCTTTCCAGTACATGTATTTAGTCCAATTTCTAGTGGTACATGCATTATTATTATTATTATTATTATTATTATTATTATTATTATTATTATTATTATTATCTCTAATATGTCCAGAGACAGATCCTTGAGATACTCTACAGTTCCTTTCATTTGAAGATCCCTCAGTGGACTGATGACTATAGGATAGCTATTGCTAGTGTTGGTAAGATACTGGCTAATTAATTGATGGGTGTGGCTTGATAGTTAATTAATGAGCATGGCGTATTGATATTTAATATACTTTTTGTTATACGTAATAGAAGATAATCTAACTAAACAGTATTTTACTTTAACATAAAACAAAGAAAAATACAAAATAAAACTTTAATAGTAATAATAGTGATTGGATAGAAGCAATTTTAGCAACATTACCAACATAAATGACCGTTACCAATTTTACCATGCATGTACATACAATAAAAAAATGTGACCTTATAGCTGCATCATTCCGAGGGTCTAACTTTTACTGTTTTGCAGATTCTTCATGTCCAAGAAAATTTTTCCGTAAAACTTTCTTGTGAAACAGATCCTACTGTCTTGATTTATTACCTTGAAACTTTGCTGCTATATGATATAGTGTATGCTTGTGTGTATAAAGTGGCTCAATCTTGTTGGTTGTTTGTCACCAATATGTCCATGAAACCATAATCTTCATCAGTCATTTTTAAATTCCTCATCCTCCGACCTTACAGTCTCTTCTACTCCTTCAGCCTGATATACTGACGTTTGTGTATCAGAAGTTGAAGGTAGTTGCTCTTCGGACTTTGTTTGTGTAGCCTCAGTAGGTTCAATGTATTCTGGTGTAGGGGATTTATGTACTCATCGCTTCTTGTTCCTTATTTCATTAGGTGAAGCTGTAGGACCTCTGGGCTTGTCCATTGACTCTTCTACTTCACTTGCAGTAGCTACATTAAAGAGAAAAAACCAAATTATTTTATTAATAATACTATTTTACAGTATTACCTTCACCATTGACTGATTCTAATCGAATCAATGGGACTGATCTGGTGACTGTAGTCAGTGTTGGTGTGCTTGCAGCTGTGGGTGCTACTAATTTCTCATTTTTGCCAACTATGGGCACAGAAGATCGACTAGTAACTGTTTCTCTTTGCTTGGGAGACTGATACGGTTCAACTTGAGTTATGGAAGAGGTGACTGAAGGATTAGTAGTAGCAGCAATAGGAGCCTGTGGCTCAAGTGGTGCTATTTGTAGTAATAGACTAGTATTAATCAAAGTGTGGCTAATAATAATAATAATAAATTAATTTCATTTTTGCTGAGTTGGGGAAATTTGAAGATGAGTAACAATAATGTATTTTTGAGCTGTTTCTAATAAAACAAGCCTAATTCTATGACATTTATGATAAAATAAACCGAGGGCTATAAAAAGTGAAGAATAATCAGAATGTGCCA